AGTATTCTATGGTGTATATGTGCCACATTTTCTTTATCTAGTGTATCACTGATGGACATTTAGATTGATTCCAAGTCTTTGCTATTATGAAGTGTTGCAATGAACATCTGCGTACATGTAAAACAGGCACTTTCCTTTTTTAATTAATTTATTTTAAGTTCCAGAACACATGTGGAGAATGTGCAGTTGTGTTGCATACGTATAGTCTGGCCATGGTGGTTTGCTGCACCTACTGACCCATTCTCTAAGTTCCCACTCTTTGTTCCCACTCCCCAACAAGCCCTGGTATGTGTTGTTCACCTCCCTGTGTCCATGTTTCTCATTTTTCAACTCCTACTTAGGAGTGAGAACATGTGGTGTTTGGTTTCTGTTCATGTGTTAGGTTGCTGAGGATGATGACTTCCAGCTTCATCCATGTCCCTGCAAAAATATAAAAGCATTCCTTTTTATGGATGTATTATTTTATGGTGTATATGTACCAAATTTTCTTTATCCCAATCTATCCCTTGATGGGCATTTGGGTTGGTTACATGTCTTTGCTATTGGAAATAGTACTGTAATAAACAAACATGTGCCATGTGTCTTTATAGAAGAATGATTTATATTTCTTTGGGTATATACCCAGTTATGGGATTGCAGGGTCAAATAGTATTTCTGGTTCTAGATCTTTGAGAAATAGCCACACCTGTCCTCCATATTGGTCGAACTGGTTTACATTTCCATCAATAGTATAAAAGCATTCCTATTTCTCCACAGCCTTGCCAACATCTATTGTTTCTTGACTTTTTATTAATTGCCGTTCTGACTGCCGAGAGATGGTATCTCATTATGGTTTTGATTTGCATTTCTCTAATGATCAGTGGCATTGAGCTTTTTTTCATACATTTCTTGGCCACATAAATTGTCTTTTTCTGAGAATTGTCTACTCATATCCTTTGCCCACTTTTCGAAGGGGCTGTTTTTTTTCTTGTAAATTTGTTTAAGTTCCTTGTCAACAAACATGTGAGCTCTCATCATTCTTGTTTAAACACTTAGCAGGCATCCTAACCAGTGCAACATGGCAAGAAAATGAAATAAAAGACCAATAGAAGTACTGGGCATGTTGGCTCATGCCTGTAATCCCTACATTTCTGGTCGTTGAGGTGGGAGAATCACTTGAGCTCAGGAGTCTAAGACCAGCCTGATTCTGAGACTTTCATCTCTACCAAGCAAACATAATTTTAAAAGGAAAAACATTAATGGATAGGAAATAAATAAATAAATGTCTTTTTTTGTCACCAGCTTCATTGGCATATGTAGAAAACACTAGGAAATTCTGAAAAAGTGTCTGGAATTAATCACTGGAATTTGCAAAATAGTTCATAAAAATACATATAATAAGTCACTGAGATGAAACTGAAGAGATCACCAATAATACTAGTCATCAAAGATGAAAGTTAAACCACAATGAGAACCACCACACACCACCTGGAATAGGTAAAGTTAAAAATACGTATGATAAATCTAAATACTGGGAAGAACATGGAAAAAATAGGAATGCCTGATATTGCTGGTGGGAATGCAAAAATGTTTCGGCCAATTTGTAAAGGGGTTTGGCAATTTCTATATGGCTACCATCCATTACCACATGACCCAGCATTCCACAAATATGTATTTATCCAAAAGAATTAAAAATGTAAGTCCACACTTGTAAGCAGTTATTTATAGTGGCTTCATTAATAACACACCCTAACTGGAGTATCCACATTTCTACACGTGGAGGAGAATAGAGAAACCAGTGAATAAACTGGGATTCCAGCAATACTCGGCAGCCTGCTGCCGGCAACAAAAATGAATAATGACATCATCTCAAACATTGTCAGGCTGATGTGAGAGGCCAAACAAAGTACTGCATCACATATGATCGCATGTCCATGAAATTCTAGAAATACCACTACTGCAGTGACAGGAAGCAGAGCAGTGGTTGAGTGAAGGGAAGTGGGTGAGGGTGGGAAGGATTGACTAGAAAGGGACAGAAAGAAAGTTTCTAGGGAAAACAAACTGTACAATGCCACAATTCTGGAGTGACTGGGCTGTGGGAACTAAGGAAAGAGGAGGGTGTGAGGGATGAGGGGCAGAGAGAAGGGCTGGGGAAGCAGGAGGTGAGGAAAAGGAGCAGGGGAAAGGACTCTAAAGCAGTGGAGGAGCCTAGCAGAGGGTTCTTTGCATGTGGGTGTTTCTCTACTGACCAGTGTGGTAGTTACATGACTACAAATTAATGATATTCACCAAAAAGTGCAGCCAAAACTGGTAAATTTTATTACATGCAAATGCCCTAATAAGCAGAAAGAAAAGGGGAAAGAAGGCCAAAAAAAGACATTTTTAGATCATCAAAACCATACAAACTCATTTCCAAGGGGACCTGCTACTACATGTAATTCAACGAACGATTCTTCAGCGGCTGAATGAGCGGAAATAATGCTCGCAGGTGAACCCAGATACACAGAACGGTGAACAATTAACAAGCAGAAATCATGCCACCACACCACATATCACATACACACTCATTTTACTTCATTCCTGAAGACATACTGACTGCCTTGTCTAAAAAGAGGATTACATCTGTATGTTGAGTATATAATGTATACTGAGTAATATAAACAACAATAATAGCATAGTGATAAGGTTAAATGAAAACTATAACATTTTAACTGTCTTTTATTTTTGCTGGATGTAGTTTAATATTATCTGAACTCACTGTGAAAAGTCAACGCTCCAGTTTCCATTATTAAAACAAAAAAATTTGTGTAAAGAAATATAGTCAAAAGCCAGTAGAGAATTAAAACCATAAACTAAATATGTTTCCTTGACACATAAGAAGTATCAAAGGAGGAACAGAAACTGTGAGATATGAGACAAATTGAAAACGTATAGTAAAACAGCAGAGCAAGTCCGACCATTGTAAGTGAAGAAATGACACGACCTGAGCGACATTAGCAGCTGCTGATCACTGTAGGGAGAACAGACAGGCAGGAAGTGAGGGACAGTGTCAGTGCCACAATTCAGGGGTGACAGGGTGGCAGTGACTAAGGGAGGGGAGGGTATGAGGGATGAGAGGGGCAGAGAGAGAAGGGTGGGAGAAGCAGGAGGTAAGGAAAAGGAGCAGGGGAAAGAATTCTAAGCAGCGGAGGTGCCTAGCAAAGAGTTCTTTGATACATTTGTGGGACTTCCTAAAATTAATGGCCTCTTAATGATTAAAGAAAAAAGTGAGTTATACAAATACCAAGTGTCCAAAATAAAATAGCACACTGCTTACATGTGCATAGTTCATGAAAACAGGCAGTGCTGGAGCATTGGGACTGCATGGAGCGCTTGCAACTCTGAGTGAGGACTACAGGCTCCCGGTTGCAACATACAGTAACAAACCTCCTTCTTTCTATTCAGACTCACACAGGGAAACTCGGGCAAGGGAATGAAGACAATTTTAATTGCAGCAACCAGAGTCACAGATCCTAGTCTGGGAAAGTAAAACTTAGGAGCTTTGAGAGTTTAACTGTGATGCTGTTTTGACCCAGGTCTTTTACAGATTGGAATTCTAATCATTCAAGAATTAACAATATTGTGCTACCTACTGTATTAATAAACAAAAAGGAAACTGGACTCTATGAGAATCTCTATCCGGTGCTTTCAGACACAACTTCACCAGGTTTAAAGAGAAAACCCCTGTCTCTAACCCCCATTCCCAGGGTGAGCTCACTCTCTGGCATCAAGTTCCCCATGTTGAGTGTCCTTGTACAAGCGTCCAAGGGGAGAGGTAGGAGAGTAGGAGGCAGGGAGTCCAGTTCAGGGAGGGGGATTCCAAGACAAGAAGTGAAGGGGAGGAGCTGGGCGCAGCCTGGGGGTCTCTCCCTGGTTTCCACAGACAGATCCTTGGCCAGGACTCAGGTAGACAGTGTGACAAAGAAGCCTGATGTAGGAGAAGAGGGATAGGGACAAAGTCCCAGGTCCCGGCAGTGGCTCAGGGTGTTGCGCTCCAAAGTGCACGCCACGAGTCCGTGCACATTATCACTGAGGAGGCGCAGCGTTGGAGATTCCACACTAGCCTGAGTTTTCACTTCTCCCAGACTGTGTAGGGTCCTTCCTCCAGGATACTCAAGACTCCGCCTAAGTTCCCACTTCCACCGGGTGTCGGGTTTCTAGACAAGCCAATCAACGTCGCCGTGGTCCCGGTTCTGAAGTTCCCAGTCATCCACTGGGACTCAGCTTCTCCCCAGACACCAAGGATGGAGGTCATGGGGGACCAAACCCTCCTCCTGCTGCTCTCGGGGCCCATGGCCCTGACCCAGACCTGGGCGGGTAAGTGCGGGGTCGGGAGGGAAATGGCCTCCGCGGGGAGGAGGGAGGGGCCCTCTCGCCGGAGGCACAGGACCCGGGGAGCCGCGCCGGGAGGAGGATCAGGCGAGTCTCAGCCCCTCCTCGCCCCCAGGCTCCCACTCCATGAGGTATTTCAACACTGCTATGTCCCGGCCAGGCTGCGGGGAGCCCCGGTACTTCGAAGTCGGCTACGTGGACAACACGCAGTTCGTGCGGTTTGACAGCGACGCCGCGAGTCCGAGGATGGAGCCGCGGGCGCCGTGGGTGGAGCAGGAGGGCCGGAGTACTGGGACCCGGAGGCGCAGAAAGCCAAGGCCGCCGCACAGAATTTCCGAGGGAACCGGCGGACCCTGCGCGGCCACTACAACTAGAGCGGGCCGGTGAGTGACCTCGGCCCTGAGCGCAGGTCACGACGCCTCCCCATCCCCCACGGACAGCCCAGGTCCCCGTGAGTCTCCGGTTCCGAGATCCACCCCGAGGCTGCGAGACCCGCCCAGACCCTCGACCCGGGAGAGGCCCAGGCGCCTTTACCCGGTTTCATTTTCAGTTTAGGCCAAAATCCCCACGGATTGGTCCGGGCGGGGGCGGGGCTCGGTTGGTAGGGCTTACCTGGGGTCTGACCAGCGCCTCCTCTGCGGATATTACCAGTTAGCCTAAGACCGCAAGGACTACCTCTCTTTGAACGAGGACTTGCGCTCCTGGACAGCCTCCTGCACAGCAGCTCAGATCACCCAGCCCAAGTGGGAGGCGGCCAGTGTGGCGGAGCAGTGAAGAGCCTACCTGGAGGGCAGGTGCCTGGAGTGGCTCCGCAGATAGCTGGAGAACTGGAAGGAGACGCTGCAGCGCGGGTAGCAGGGCAGTGGGGAGCCTCCCTCATCTATAGATCTTCCGGGATGGCCTCCCATGAGGAGGGGAGAAAAATGGGATCAGCACTAGAATATCGCCCTCGGTTGAATGGAGAATTGCAAGAGTTTTCCTGAGTTTCCTTTGAGAGTCCCCTTGGCTCTCTAGGACAATTAAAGGATGACTTCTCTGAGGAAATGGAGGGAAGACAGTCCCTGGAATACTGATCAGGGGTCCCAGTTGACCCCTGCAGCACACTTGGGCACCGTGACTTTTTCTCTCAGGCCTTTTTCTCTGCCTCAGACTCAATAAATTTGAAGCTCTGATTCCAGCTTTTCTGAGTCCCTAGGCCTCCACTCAGGTCAGGACCAGAAGTCGCTGTTCCTCCCTCAGAGACTAGAACTTTCCAAGGAACAGGAGATTATCCCAGGTGCCTGTGTCCAGGCTGGTGTCTGCATTCTGTGCTCCTGTCCCCACCCCAGGCGTCCTGTCCATTCTCAGGATAACCACATGGGTGCTGCTGGGTGTCTCATGAGAAATGCAAAGTGACTGAATTTTCTGACTCTTTCTTTCAGTAACCCCCAAGACACACGTGACCCACCACCCCTTCTCTGACCATGAGGCTGAGGTGCTGGGCCCTGGGCTTCTACCCTGCAAAGATCACATTGACTTGGCAGCAGGATGGGGAGGACCAAACTCAGGACACCAAGCTTGTGGAGACCAGGTCAGCAGGGGATGGAACCTTCCAGAAGTGGGCGGCTGTGGTGGTGCCTTCTGGAGAAGAGCAGATACACACGTGCCATGGGCAGCACGAGGGGCTGTCAGAGCCCCTCATGCTGAGATGGGGTAAGGAGGCGATTGGGGGGTCACATCTCTTCTCAGGGAAAGCAGGAGCCCTTCTGGGGCCCTTCAGCAGGGTCAGGGCTGAGGCCTGGGGTCAGGACCCCTTACCTTCCCCTTTTTGCCCAGAGCTGTCTTCCCAGTGCACCATCCCCTTCATGGGCATCATTGCTGGCCTAGCTGTCGTAGGAACTGTGGTCATGGGAGCTGTGATGGCTGTTGTGATGTGGAGGGAAAAGGGCTCAGGTAGGGAAGGGGTGAGGGGTGGGGTCTGGGTTTTCTTGTTCTACTAGGGGTTTCAAGCCCCAGGTGGAAGTGTTCTCTGCCTCATTACTGGGAAGCACCATCCACACACGGGCCAACCCAGCCTGGGTCCTTGTATGCCAGCACTTATTCTTTTGTGAAGCACATGTGACAACGAACGACAGATGTATCACCTTGATGACTCTGGTGTTGGGGTCCTGATTCCAGCATTTACAAGTCAGAGGAAGGTCCCTGCTAAGGACAGACCTTAGGAGGGTGGTTGGTCCAGGACCCACACCTGCTTTCCTCATGTTTCCTGATCCTGCCCTGGGTTTGTAGTCATAGTTCTGGAAACTCCTCTTGGGTTCAAGACTAGGAGGTTCCTCTAAGATTTCATGGCCCTGCCTCATCCCTGTCCCCTCACAGGACATTTTCTTCCCACAGGTGGAAAAAGAGAGAGCTGCTGTCAGGCTACGTCTAAGTGGTGGGGGCAGGAGTGTGGAGGAGCTCACCCACCCCATATTTCTTCTGTCCCACATCTCCCGTGGGCTCTGACCAGGTTCTATTTTTGTTCTACCCTAGGCAGCAACACCGCCCAGGGCTCTGATGTGTCTCTCAGGGCTTGTAAGGTGAGGCCTTGCAGGATCTGTAATGGACAGGGTTGGGGCAGAGGGGACAGGACTGGGTAATGGGCATTCTTTGATTGTGACATTTCAAGTGTCTGGTGGGCTGTTCAGAGTGTCATCACTTACCATGACTGACCTGAATTTGTTCATAACTATTGTTTGCTGTAGCTTGAGACAGCTGCCTTGTGTGGGACTGAGACGCAGGATTTCTTCACGCCTCTCTCCATGACTTCAAGAGCCTCTGGCATCTCTTTCTACAAAGGCATCTCAATGTGTCTGTGTCCCTGTTAGCAGAAAGTGAGGAGGTGGAGAGACAACCCACCCCGTGTCCACCATGTTCCCTCCCCAGTCATCTTTCCTGTTCCAGAGAGGTGGGGCTGGGTGCCTCCATCTCTGTCTCAACTTCATGGTGCACTGAGCTGCAACCTCTTACTTCCCTACTGAAAATGAGAATCTGAAGATAAATGTGTTTTCTCAAATATTTGCCATGAGAAGTTGATGGGTTAATTAGTCAATTCCTAAAATTTGAGAGAGGAAATAAAGACCTGAGAACCTTCCAGAATCTGCATGTTCACTGTGCTGAGTCTGTTGCAGGTGGGGATGGAGAAGGCTGTGAGGAGCCGAGTGTGGGCCTGTGCCCAGTTGCTGTTGAGTCCATTATGGGCTTTCTGTGGTCAGTCCTCAGCTGGGTCAGCTTCACTGCTCCACTGCCCTTGTCCCTTCAGTAGAAACTTGTCCAGCAAGAGCTGTGACCACAGAGAGTTACACATCACCCAGGGCGGCCCCTGCACACAGGAGTCTCTGTGTTTCTGAGACACATTTTCAGACCCATTCAGCTCCTGGCCTCCTTCTAGGGCTCCTCTTCTGCTCTGCTCTCCTGCCCTCTCTCCCTGCCCTGGTTCCAGTGATCTTGGTGCTGGCTCCAATCCCAACTCATGAATCTATAAAGCAGTCTAATTTCAGTTTACAGTTGTTGTAAAATTGGGTCCATAGTCAAAAATTGTTCTGAAGAGAGAAACCTTACTAAGTGCTGCATTTTGCTGGACTGGGAACGGTGGTGGTGTGGGACAAGGGATAGGGGAGGGAGGGCATGAGCAACACTGGGGGACCTTGTGCTGTAGCTGCCACAAAACAGCATTTGGCCTGAGGCTACATTAATAAAGATACTGTCTTTAGAATAGGAAGTGCTCTGCAGTGATCATTCAACTGACCTTTGTTGTCCGCCAGACATAGGACATAGTGGTTCTGCATCTGGGGAACGCCATTGAATTAAAATCAGAAAAATCTCTGGCATTTTGTAGCATGTGTTTCAGTGTGAAGAGACAGACTATAGATACACTATAACCAGAGTAAGGAAGGAAAGTGCTGGAAGGTGAGAAGTGCTGTGAAGCAGGTGATCCAGGGTGTGGGCAGTGGGGACAGGGAAGGTGGCTGTTGCGCTGGGGTGGTCAGTGTGCACCACATTGCAAAGGTGACCTTTTAGGAAAGATTTGAGGGACATGAAGAATGTCCGCAAGGATGTTTGGGGAAGTTCTTTCCAAGCAGGGAAAACTCATGTTCAAATGCACTAGGGCAGAAAGCTGTCTTTGTTCCCAGAGGGGCAAGGAGGCCAGGAGGCCTAGACAGAGAGAAACTGAGAGGAGGGCAGATATGTGGTCAGAGCAGGTGTACTGATGTAATAAAAGGTTTCAAGTGCTGGAGTGTGGGGGGTGAGAAGAGAATGACAAATTTTAATTCATGAAGCAGTAATAGAAGACAAGAAATTTATCTAGTACCTGGGAGGCACTCAGAGTGTCTGAATGAACCAGTGACTAATAAATATTTCCACCCATTCCCTTGAAAATAAGTTACTACCTCAAGTGTTTGTCTATCCCAGTTCATACTCTAGATTATTGGAGTGGCCTTGTGTGATGGCGAAATGATTATTCACACATCGTCTCTCAGCATTGTCTCTTACTAGGATTTAAAAACACCCAGGTTTGTGAGATCTCCGAGGATCTGGGTACCTACTGATATTTTATATCAATATTTATATTTTCTTGTGTGTGGAAATATTTCTGGGGAAAGAATCTCCATTATTATGTGACCCCCTCAAAACCTCAAGAATGCTAACTTCTTGGTTAGAGGTAGGACCAGTCCACATGTGGACAATGAACAGCTGGTGGCAACCTGCTTAGCAGACTTAGGGACATGAAATAAATTCTTAATTTTCAAAAATCTTTTCCTCTGGGACCGAAGAAGGTAGAGGTTTACTTGCTTACTCTTACTATAAGTTTCTCTCTGTGGGATGGTGATGAGTTTTTCCTCCACCCAAACAATTTTCTAATTCTCGCCAACAACAGTTGGGAGTCCCAGAACTTGACTCAATTCTGACACTAACTGCCTGGAGTTCACCTGAGACTCCACAGATTTAAGGTCTCATTCCCATGAGACTGTCCTCATTTCAGGACAAGTTACAAGTATCGGGTCCCAGGTTACCTGCACTGCTGTCTAACATGGCTGCAAAGTCAGGGATCTCTAACCTCTCAAGGTTTGGAAAAAATTTTTTTTTGAGACTGAGTTTTGCTCTTGTTAGCCAGACTGGAGTGCAATGGCATGATCTCAGCTCACTGCAACCTCCACCTCCTGGGTTCAAGCAATTCTCCTGCCTCAGCCTCCCGAGTAGCTGGGACTACAGGCTGTGCCACCATGCCCACTAATTTTTGTATTTTTAGTAGAGATGGGGTTTCACCATGTTGACCAGGATGGTCTCCATCTCAACCTCGTGATCCATCCACCTTGGCCTCCCAAAGTGCTGGGATTATAGGTATGAGCCACTGCGCCTCGCCCGGAACTTTTTAAACTAACTCAAAGAACTCAGGAAGTTGCTATTGTCATGTAAACCAAAAAATGTCTGAGACAGGTTTCAATCAGTTTAGAAGTTTATTTTGCCAAGCTGAAGACGCACCTTGGAGAAAGAGACACAAATCACCATAGCATGAGCCCAATGCTTTCTCCTAAGAGGGTTTTCAACATTTAAAGGGAAAAGAGTAGGCAGAAGAGGAAAAAGGAAGAGTCAACTATGCTTTCATTTCATGCTCAGTAAATATGCATTTTACATAAGCTAAAGTAAACGTTGGGTAGAGAAGTCAAACACGCGTTTGTCTCCGGGTAGTTGGAAGGATGATTTCTAGTCTTGTGTTTGTCCTGTACCTGTGAAGATAAGCTGTTAATTTACATTGTTGGTGGGGAGGGGGAATTCAACAAAACTCTGATTCAGAGTAAAGATGTTGGGGCTCACAAGGAATTATCTTGTGAGCCATTTGTGAGGGAGGCCACCTGGGGAGAAGAACAAAAGAAAGGCAGTTTCTCCATCACTCAGTTTTCAGACTTAACTTTTATTTTTGGTACAATGAGTTTAGAGTTCTGAAATTTTATCTTCCTTTCACACTCACTATTGCAGTTTATTATTGTTATAGCTTAAATCAGCGGTCCTTACCTTTTCAGCACCAGGGACCGGTTTCATAGAAGACAATTTTTCCATGGACCAGCAGAGATGGCAGGGGGCAGAGGGGAATGGTTTCGGATGAAACTGTTGCACCTCAAATGATCAGGCATTAGTGTTTCATAAGGAGTATGCAACCTAGATCCCTTGCATGCAGAGTTCACAATAGGGTTCATGCTCTTATGAGAATCAAATTGCCACTTATCTGACAGCAGGCGGAGCTCAGGTGGTCATGCTCATGCTCATGTTCTCTCACTTACCAATCACTTTCTGCTGTGTGGACTGGTTTCTAACAGGCCAGGATCCTGGGCCAGTCCATAGCCCGGGGATTAGGGAACCCTGGTTTAAATTATGTGATTGTAGTAGAACACCTGATACTGGAAAACTTATAATGAACAGAAATTTATTTGGTTCATGGTGGTGAGGATGGGAATTCCAAGATCAAGGGACTGTATCTGGTAGAAGGCAAAGGGGCAAGAGAGGGTGAGAGGTAGAGGGAAAAAGAGGTCAAACTCACAGCCTCAGGTCCTTTTATAATCAGACCGAATCAATTAATGGGGGCAGAGCTCCGATTGTCCAATCACCTCTAAGAGGTTCCACCTCTTAAAAATGTTGCATTGGGGATGAATTATCCAACAGTTGCTTCCCTGGGGAAACATTCAAACCACAGTTGAGTAGCCAGATGAAGAGGTGCACAGGTCGAGGTCTGAAAGGGCTCTGAATACAGAAGCATCTGTCCCCTTGGAGATGGGATGCACCGTCCTCCCAGCAGGTGGACACACAGATGTGCTCGCCAGTTAGGAAGCTCTCCAAAACTCAGTCTCTAGATTTTTCTATAAAAGGTTTATTGTGTAGGCAAGATTAATTAAATCATTGGCCATTGGTGACTGAGCTCAACCTCCAGTCCCTCTTTCCTTCCCAGAGATAAAGGATGGGGCTGAAAGTTCCAATCCTCTAATCACAACTTTGTGTTTCTGGGAACCATCCCCCATCCTGAAGCTACCTCAGCCCATTAGTCTTCTCATTACCATATTAAAACCATGCTTATCACTGAGGAGACTGCAAATGTTTTAGAACCTGCTTGTCAGGAAACAGGGCCAAAGGCCAAATACTTTTATTGAACCACTGATCACACCCTGGCCTCTGACCACATTGTCTCTTTTTATAATTTTTATTTATTTATTTTAGAGACAAGGTCTTGCTCTGTTGCCCAGGGTAGAATGCAGTGGTACAATCATAGCTCACTGTAACCTTGAATTCCTGGGCTCAAGTGATCCTTCTGGCTCAGCCTCCTGAGTAGATAGCATCACAGGTACACACCACCATGCCTAAATAATTTTTATTTTTATTTTTTTCAACCACAATTACTTTTACAGCCCAACTAATTTTTAAATTGTTTGTAGGAATGGAGTCTCACTGTTTTGCCCTGGCTGGTCTCAAACTCTTGGCCTTAAATAATGCCCCTACCATGGCCTCCCAAAGTGATGAAATTATAAGCATGAGCCACTGTGCCTGGCCAATCACAGATCTCCTGTATCAGAGGAATTATAAGAGTAAAAAGAACCTGGCACATTACCAGAATCCTGTTTGGTCATTAACAATTGTCCCGGTGTAGTCCCAAAACAGGAGTAGTCTCAGCAACATGTAGATGCACCCTTTCAGGCATCTGGTAAAATTGAGCTAAGAGACAATATCATCTCTTGCTTATATCTCTTTAGAGTGGTTCATGAAACACTGGATTTTCCTGACTTTATAACCCATTCAGGGATTCATTTACCCTCAGTTACTGTTTCTCCTTCTCCTCAATACTGTTCTAGCAAGGGTCTCCAGTCAGCCCATTCCAGTTAACAGACTGTAGGGTTAAGCAGGTAGAGAACTGGTTAGCTATCTGACCCCAGGCAATACAGCTGCATTCAGTGTTAATTCCAACTTTCCCAGATGCAGAGAAGGTGCAACCTATTTCTCCAGGCCCTTAGGAATTCTTGCATAATAGACATAAAATATATTTACAGTTTTTTACTTATGAATAATTCCTGTTTCTGGACTTTTATTTGCATCCCTAGGCCTGAGACCACTGC